GATCTGCACAATTAAAACACTGGAAACCATAGAATCCACACAGAAAAATATTAAGTACCTGTGCAAAGTCCCATATAAACTGGGTGCAAGAGATACTAAATAAAACAGTGCAGATTCTATTTAATTCCAATATGTTTAAAGCAGTTTAAGCACACCCAATGATATCTTTATACATTTGTATGACATTCTGCTTGATCCGAATTATCTATAGGACACACAGTTTAACCCCACCCCAGGCCCAGCTAGTGAACCCACCCACAGAGTTCTGAACCTGATAAATCATAAGATAATTCTACTTGTGCAGCCCACAAAACCTGCACTTTCTGGGTCAGAAGTCAAGCAGTCAATGCCGGCGCTCCCAGGTCCCAGGCTGCTGCACCAAGTCTTCATGTGGCTGACATTTGGTCAGAGGGGTCAAGCAGGCATTACAGGACTGAGTAATTGATTTTTATAACTGCTGAAGGGAGAGTTGCTATCCATGGTACACCATTGTAAAAGGAAAATATACACATCATGAAAGGATCATTCTAAATACATGTACATGATGAATCAAAACTACACGATATTTCTTTGTAGCATACTTCAAACACCATCTCTCCAGTGGTCACAAATATCCATCTAGATTTGGATACATATTTACTATGCCATATGGTGAATATCTCAAAGGCTGGATATTATCCTCAGGCTGATCATGATTATAAATGTTTGACTATGAAAAATGCCAGGTTAACAGCAGATTAACATACAGGTAACCCTTTTATTACACATGGTAAGCTCTTCTGCACTTAATGTACTTTTTACTATTTTAGACTCCTGTGACATATAACATGATTTTGAGCCATTCATTGTGTCTGATTGTAATGCCCACTGAACTATAAAACCAATTTAGTCTAACAGTACTGTAATATAAAACGATAATCTTTTAGCTGCCCTTTCATTGTCATCCCGGTGGGTCTTTAATGACATAATCACCAATACAGGGTTGCTGTCTTGTGTAGGTCTTAATAAATGGTTTTAGTGCTATCAGTGAAATGCATGTCATAGCAAAAAAAAACCAGAAAATCAAGAGAACACAGCCTACAAATGTAATAGACTCGCCTATTGACATACATGCAGTGTCGTATTGTCTTCATTATTTGTTTTCTCGGCAGGAACACTGATGTAACAATCCTATTGAACACAAAACCTGATCCAATATTTTTCTTAAACAGTCAGCAAAACTTAGTACATGTTTAGCATTCTTCATGACATGTAAAACTGAATAATGATCATTATTAAACTCCAGTTGACTTAGGAACTCTTCAAGTAGCCCCAAGCTGTAACCATCTGGTCTGCGGAGGTGAAGATAAATGACTTATGGCTGTAGCCTTGGAGGCTGTAACAGGATAAAGCCCCTCCACATTATTACACAGATAAGCATGTTTCTACAGAACTGTGATTACATCTGTTTGGTCCTTTCTGTGGGGAGATAAGGGCTACTGGGGAGAATCAAGAAACAATTAGAAGGAAAACTGTTTTCACAACTTCAATCATTGTTGGTCTGTAGAAGTGAAGTAATGAAAATAATGTATGAGGAGGATGGAGGGTCTGGCCAGGAAATCAATGGTTGGCTTCCTGCAAAATCAGCAACAATTTAGACAAACTGAGCTAATTTTCCATCAAGTTTGTGCCGGGGTGATACGTCTTCATAAAGCAGCCGGCGGTTCATAAGTTGGCGGGAGAGATGTGGGTTCAGCGTGCCTCACTATCGATCCTGGTGATGATGTGCTCTCTGACCAAAGGTGTTGGTGGGCAGATAATGTTGATGTCATGTTGTGACAGTGAGAAATGGCTGCGATAACTTATCAGTAGTGTTACAATCACACCGCTCACCCCCGGCACTGATGGTCTTTAGATTTCAGCCTAATGCCAAACGGAATGTGCCGTTACTGGGAATGAGAAAGTCTCCTGGCCACAGCATGCCTGAACACCTGCTGATGGCAGAACTTTAGCCGCCTCTCGGCTTGAGCCAGGGAGGAAATTGATTGGTGAAAATTACACAGGGACTGCAAGTCAAGATAGTTGCTGATTACAAAGGCCGGGTGATATCTACATGCAGCCGTGGTCATATGGACATGGCTGGACAACGGGAGATTATTAACCTTTCACATGTTGGACAAAAAATTGATGTGGGCTCCTCAGATCAGGGGAAGCTGGGGACATGGGGTGCAGAGATAAGCGTAATGGCTGGTCATTTACCGGGCACCAGGATCTACAGAGGAAATGGCAGGAGACGGAGCATATGTCATCAGCTTAAAATGTACATGTAAAATCATGTTGCTAACTGCCTGGAACAGCAGAATACTGTTGCTGCACAAATGTCCAACATTACAACTTCCGAAAGTGGTAACTACTCTCTCCAGATGGAGGATTTATGTGTTAACAGCCAAGAAATGGCTGAGAGCATTAACCTAATGTTCCTTTTAACGTCAACTTGCATCATTACTGTACACAGACACTGTTTTCTGCAGTCATAGAGGTTTGCTAATAGAAGGGAATTGTGTCTATGAAATAGGATGTTTTGCTGACTTTAAACCTGTGCTGCAGGGTTAACATATGTGAAGGAAGTAACAGTTACTGTTTAACAGCCTGTTTGTGGAGAGAGGTACAACATTGAGCTTGTTAGTGTGATATTTTGAAAAGATGTCTCTATCTTTCTGACCCTTTAAGATCATGGGGATTGACCATTGTCACCTGTATGACCCCATAGGTGTGTCTCTTAATGTGTGTGCCCACCTCCCTATCACTACTGAAACACCTCAGCACATCGCTGTTATTAGTTGTGGCTGCAATAAAGCGTTCCAGTCCATGTAAGAGCTAATATGTGTGTGTATGTTGGGCCCAGGGCAGGCCGGTCATCACCCTGTCAGACCTGTGACAGTGATGGAGCAGGCTGCCTTATCTTTACCTGTGGGGCCTTGTGTAGGCATGTTGTTTCCTCTTACTGTGCTAGAATTGGGACATGTGGGGCCTTGTGAAACAGTGTTTTACCTGACACTACAGGGTAGGTGTGCGATACCCAACATGGACAACACAAAGCTGTTCCACATGGTGTCCCTCCCCCCTCAGTCAAGTCAGGTGATCTGTCCACCTGTTTGTCAGTTGATTTGCCCACCTGTAGTTCAGGTGCTGATCCTCCATCTCCCACCCTGACATTGATGGAGTGCTGCACCTTCTCCTAACCTGTGAGTGGAGCTCTCCCACTTCCACCCGTCCTCCTCAGGGTCCAGCCTGTTGCTTCCTCCTGCTGACCTGGGGAATCCCTCTGCCAGCTTTATCTCCTTTCCTCCCAGCTAGGCTTTATACTGCAGTACCAAGGAATGACCCCTGTGCTTTGTCTTGCCCCAGCAGTTGAACCTTACTGATAGGTACATCGATCCAAAGTTGAAAGCTGGATGCTACCATACGATTGAATTGTCTTTTAAACATGCCAACACTACAGATTGTGAGCTGTCTTTTTTCAAACTGACAAAAATGCATTACAACATTTGCTGAATTGTTTCTTTACTTTTATCTTATGATCAATGCAGTGAGAAGATACAATGTATGGTGATTCCTTCTTATAAATGAAGAGTCTTCCTGTAGAATGGAAATGTGTCCTATCAATGCCACTTTCTAATGGAGGATAACATGTTAACCAGTTTTTCAGCACCAAGGACGAAACACAATGTGACTGGCTATGCTTAAGTGTGTGAAGATATGATTAAGGGGAAGGGAATGATAGAAAATAAGGGTTTTTGTTGATTTGTATTTGAATCCTCTTGTTGGTGGCAATCACTTAGTCTATGAAGTTGGGATCGGATGTAAAAACAAGCAGGCATGTCAATGCTTTTTATACTCTTTTGAAGTTTGCAAGAAAATGACCCAAGGATGCCTGAGGATGTCTTTAACAGACAGCAGGGAATGGCACTTATAATTAGGAGCCTGGAAACCCATTATCTGTGATCCAAGATAGTATTAGGATTTCTCTTCCCGCTCTAATCAAATCAGATGGTATCAAAATGGCGCTGCTGTCTCAACCATTATCAGTGGGCTGTCAGTCTGTGAAGATGCTTGTTTTTCTTGTCGTTACAACCAGAAAATGAATGTTCATGTCTGAATAATTCAAGATCTGGAAATGTTGCTGGTTGGTTGTGATGAGGACTAGATTGAATTACATGAGGGGAGCAGGCGTGCCATATCTTGGGCCATTATTTATCTCAGCAGTAGCTGACATGATTAGTATTGGATGGGCTGCTCTTTAGAAGATGAGCTCGCTGATGTAATCTGTTTAAGGACCCTCTGACTTTTCACATAATGAAAGTGTGAGAATGTCAGAGGCTAACTTGGTTTTGTGATAGCGACATGTCATTTCTAGAGCATCTCTGTCTCCAATTTCCCCACTAAAGCTTGTTACACCATGATGAAAAGTGTGACTTGATTCATTTGGGTTCACCCTAACTTACTTACAACTGGCCCTGTATCCTTCTCTGATAAAATGTCTTTATTGCACTTGACATGACAGCTAAGTAACTAAAACAACACATGTACATGTAGTGGAGCTCGAGGAATTCTCAACAACTAACCTTCTGTTCTTACATGAACATTGATCGACAAGCAGCTTCTTGTATACAACAGTTACGTCCAGTTTTGAAAATCAACTTCTTGAACTCAATGAATTTAACACAGATTGGAGAAATACTGTGTGATAATGCTCATGGTTTAAAAATGAAGGGAAGTCAGAGATGGATGTGAAGAGACCTCTTGCAGTTCCAGCTCACAGTGCACAAACAAGCTTGCAAGAAGAGCAATGTGTCGTTTTTCTGTCTAGCTTTCATTCCTGATATAGATATGCTGCATAGCGCACAAATTGTCCTTTTCTTCTGATTATCTCCATTCTTATTTGTTCCACGAATCAAATTTACCTTAATACAATAGACATAAGGACAGAACCCATAAACACAAACTTTGAAGTACATACATCAGTTGGTTAACATTGCACAATTGTTACTTCAGAAGAAACCAATGTTACCTTGCAGTACAAAATGTACATGTACTTGAACACCTAATCTCACATAGCAATTGTTTGTCATTTAACCATATTCCTTTATGGCTTGTATGGTTGTTCTTGAGTGATACTCATATACAACACAATGCCACTTGCGTGATACTCATATACAACACAATATCAGCCAATATAAACCGTAGATCACATAAAAAAATCACATAAACAAATCCTCCTCTGTGTACCTACAATGACATATATCACTGTGATCATATACTAAACGATACGGATTTCGTTTGAACGATTTTCCCAGCTGAACATTGATGACAGGGGTTCGAAAACGCCATCTAGCGAAGTCCTGATGAGTACCAGGTCTGACACCTGTTACTGGAAGGACGCTCGGATGATTCTGCTCTTGATGGGTTGTGTTGGTCTGAAGTTGTCACACAGCATGCCCTCTTCTCCCGGAGGCGGGGGCTGGCCCTTGGCATGGCACCGCAAGCGGCGAAACTCTTCCATCTGAGCGTGTGTAAAACGTACGTATATACTGAGCACCACGCCTGACGGTGTATGCAGGTGATGGCAGGCAAGATGGTTATTATTAGCCAGTTACTAAGGAATGCACATTACGAAAAGATTGAGATGCGGTTACCTACTGAGATGTTTTGAAAATTACGTAGAATTTCTCTGTCCCAGTTGTCGTATTCGGCTTGCCTGGCTCTATACTATACCATCGCATGAAGCTAACAGTACATTCAATTTGACGGTACATGGCATGAATATGTGACGCTGACACGCACATACATAACTTTAAAGTCAAACAGACAATAACGATCGATCCTTGCTGCTTGTTCTAACATTGCGACACTTTTTTCCTTGATCCAAATCCATAAATGGTACGTAAGTCACGATTGGCAGTTCACCTGTACGTGAGATATGGTGAGCGGATAACGGAAGATGATCCACTGAACGTTTTCGTAGCAGGGTGGTGACGTCAAAGATCCTTCGTAGGTCCAGTATTCCCTCAGAGCAGGGTCTGAAAACAGTTAAGAGCACCACAAGAAGTAACAAAAACATACATAAATGCAGTGGATTTTGAGAAGAAAGGAAGTTTCATTTGCTAAGGCGACGATGACGAACTCGATGTACAGCAGGGCTAAGATATGTACGCCTCGTAGCGACTTTCCCAGAAAATACAGCTTGTTCTGTGACTAACACCTGAGCTTCGTCGGTCACAAACTTGCAAAAGGGAAACATGACACTTGACGAGATATTTTCGGGTTGACGAATTAAGAGACAGAGTGTGTCTCGAAAGCTCTTTATAGTAGCTAATAACTCTTCGTCAAAAGTATGATACTTGACGTATTCGGGATCTAACGACCTCGGAATGTAACTTTATACATATTTTCAGATTGATAAAAGTGCGTCTTTATCATTGATGCCGTGGTCTTACCGGGTAGAAACACGGTAGGATTAAACGCTGTGGTAATAGTTTTGGACTTCCCCTGTGAAAAAAAAATCATACAACACTGTAACATTATATTTGATGTACAAGTATGGACTGCAAACTCCATAGCAGTCAGTCTAAAATGACGAAGTGTTGTTCGTAACGCCGGTGCAACGGTGCCTCAAGAACTAACGTCCGAAAACCACTCATTGCATACGAAACCTCATGACCAAATGCCATCTTTGCCAAGTTATTAGACAAAGTAAGTCTTCAGATTCATAGCGATATATTGGAAAACATTACCTTGTATTGAATGTCTTCTAAATGATCCGTAAAGTTCTTTACACCCGCATTTTCTCTGCCAATCTATATATAAAGAACAGGGCATGTAGTATGTACCATGTACCAAAAATGTTTGTAATGCCATGAATGTATATCGAACATGTGTACATTCGTTATTGACGCCTTTCTGTATTTTCATGTAATCATTACCTAACAGAACTACATCAAATATCTTGGCTTTTCATGCTTTGCAGTGCTGAGACTTAGAGTCTGCGTTTGATCTGGAGTAAGGATGTACAAGCAGAACAAATTGATTATGAATAGAAACCAGTAGTACCTGAACGATGACGGACATGATTACTATCCCATCCCGCTTGCCCATCGCGTCCGCCAAGTTAGAATATAAACTCGTGTTCCAGTGTAAAAGGTGAAGCTGAGAGGGAAAAACTTGAATTAAGTTTGTGTGTTACGACGAATGGGCTGCTGAGAATGGCCAAAGAAATTCAAAGCATAACTAGAAAGGTAACACATGCAACGGAAATGCATAATATGCGTAATTCTTACTCAAACACATTCATATATATGGTGACAGGAGTCAAATCCCTCCTGCTATAAAGTTGCAACATGATGTAACCCAACACTAGTTACCATGGTGACAAACGTCTGGTGCAGATCATTGACCTTATTTGTTCGGAGAAGAAGAACAAACTGAGGAAAAACAGTATGTTTTCCTTCGGTACTATAATATAATAAACTTCATCAAAACGGATTTTAAGACGAAAGTAGTGTTCATGCTTTTACAAATTGTATAAATCAAATATTACCTCCATCGGAAATGCCTTGAAGTTAACAGTATGCTCTGACCCACGGTCGTCCTCTCGTCCCCAGTGAAAGCGAAGGTGGCAAAGCTCGAACTCATGGCCTTCCGGTAGTGGTCCACCTGAGGTAACTGTTGCGTAAAAAAATGTTGGACTATATATATGTGTGTATGTAAGGGTCTGTTATCAAAACGAGTTGTTCAAAAACTGATGTACGCAGACAAATAAAACATCAGGCAGCACAGTACGTACCTAATTTTAGAACTTGCTCCGATCTACTGTCTCGGAAGGCGGCGCTGCTTTCAAATGTCGCTAAAAAAAGACGATAGTGGTGTTATAACAATGAAAAGACGAAATTGGCAGAAATAATAAAGCTCAAAGTTATACCTGTATAATTTTCTTGTCTTGATCTACTATCGTTTACAATTATTAGAAGTATTGTCCTGTTTCTAGAACACATAAGTTGATAGTATAACTGTTCTAGTGTGTAGTATCGTAATATTTTTTAATGCTTTTATACCAGTCTTTGGTTTTGGCACCACTTGAACGGCGTGGCCATCGTTACTTAGTTCCCATTCCCTGCAGAGACAGTAGCTAATCGTCAGAGGGCGCTCCACAAGCGTCTCGTCGAAGGTAGCCGTCCGGGAATTGATGTTGACCGGAGATTGTTGGTCGCCGTTCGCATACGGCCAATGGAGTCCCCATTCAGACAGACCTGTGAACACATTGTCGTAAACATAGGTGTAAACGTAATTCTCATGGGGAAGGCAAGGCCATTTCGTGTCTACTGTATGGGCAGTCGACGGGAAACGCAAAACTAGGATTTTGTCCACAATCATCCAATCTATATGTATAGGTCTGATCACTGATATATGCTTCAGACACCTACGTGTTTGAATACCCAAATTATTGGGACAGAGACGTGCACATGCATGCCCCACAGCTGTCATCATGAAAATTGATTTCTGTGTTCGTGTAAGAAGCACGCCGATACTTCTGCCAGCACGTTAATCAGATCCGTCATGTATGGTTGAGATGAAGACTCCTGAGGGCTTTTAACAGCTTGTCAGCGCCTACTTATGCCGTACGAGAAACCGGCCTGGAATACTAATGAAGCCTATTTGCTACTTGCGATCAGGATTTCGTGTCATTTTATGTATCATTTATAAAAACGCCTCAAATGTTTAAACATATATGATAACTAGAAAGGTAACATTTGCAAAGCAAATGCATAATGTTAACCTTAGCATATGGTCTCCTCTGATAATTCTTACTCAAAACACATTCATATATATATGGTGACAGGAGTCTAAATCCTTCCTGCTATAAAATTGCAACATGATGTAACCCAACACCAGTTACCATGGTGACAGACGACGTCTGGTTCTGGTCATTGGCCTTATTTGTTTGGAGAAGAAGAAGATGAGGAGGAAACAGAGCAAAACCATATGTTTTCTTTCAGTAAACTTAAAAACACGATAATCAGAGTTCCCCCGCCTTTATTGTGAAAAGTGAATCCCTGTGTATAGCTTGTATTTCTGCCAAAGATGTGTATCTAGACTAATAGGTCTTAAAACCCGATATATCTCGAGTCGAATCACCCTCCCGTGTCTTGTTGGCAGGGCAATTACTGTCTTGTGACACCTGCAATATTCTCATGTCTTGCCCTTTAGACTGATTCCCAGATAGCGATCGTAGCTTGGCGTCTTGCCGATGAGAGGTTATATATAACGTTATACATATATAGTAGAAAAAACTTCCTAATGCAACTAGACAAACCTTCCATCGAAAAAAATATGTTCTTTTATCTCTGATATAACTGAAAATCAGAGGTTGAACCTACCAAATGATGGTTAAATTTTGTATCTGCTCATCATATTTGTGACCTGTAGCTCAGTATTGCACAATAAAGGACGTCATTCATTATCATGTACCTAAACGGCTCGTGCGAATTATCCCAACCCTAACACTTAACGATAAAGACAGCAGATATGTTGAACGTAGATTGTTTTACTCCGTTACTGTGTTGAACACGTGAAATGTGCCAAGGCGGAATGTTTCTGTATCCTTGAGTGAAGAATGTCTGCCGTCCTTCACTCTCACTGCGTGTTGTGTCGACCATGTCTGCAAGTCGTCTGTCAGCAGTCAGGTCTTTCCTGTCTCCAAGCAGACGTGTTGTGGTGGCGTATCATTGTGAGAACTTCAGCTATGTCACCACTGACACTTCGAGCACAAAGAAACTGATGTGTCCCACTTGAGTCAACTCCATTTCTACACGCATTATGAATCTGTACACAGCAGAACGTATGCCCGGGGCCATATGCATGTCCTGGACAGGAACTTTCATTTCACGGTGTTTCACACTACAGTTTACGATGGTCAGATTGACGTCAGCAATGTTGTTATGCAGTCATGCGGGTTTCCGTAGTAAGTCCCATGTATCCATCAATATTCACTTGCAATGTTGCGACAAGTTCCATGCTGTGTGGGGTAACCATAGTTTTAAGTGCCTTTGGGCTTATACTGGTACCTGTTCTGTGTGTGCGGAATGAAGATTAAAATTCTCTCTCTCAGACTGCTCGTCATTTCTTTTCCCTTCAAGAAGGAAGGGAACCTTGACAATTACGCGGTTTTATTACTTTATTACCATTGTGATCTTGATTGATCTAAAATGGCTGTTTTCCAGTTTTATACGGTGAGACGGCTTATGTCCTAGGACTAACAGTAGTGAGCTTAAGCGGGATTGTGACATATGAACTTATGTGTGGTCCATTATGATAGCATCCTTGTCATTCCACTCAAAGAATACCAAGTTTCCCCCGAGCAAGACACACTTTCTATCTACTGCCTGTAACACCAAGTTCAATGTCTCTAACATGATGTCTAAGGGGACCCAGTGTGCAGTTTATCTTCAGTAGATAGCGCCCATGCCCTGGAGCATGGCATCTCCCCCGTCCCCCCGAGCAAGACACACTTTCCATCTAACGCCTGTAAACACCAAGTTCACTGGCTCTAACATGTTGTCTAAGGGGACCCAGTGTGCAGTTTATCTTCAGTAGATAGCGCCAATGCCTTGGAGCGTGGCACGCGACCTAAGCGTGAAGAACCGAGCCAATCCTGCCCATCTGTGGGGTTTATGGTTTATACACAGAGAGGATGAAGGTGCACATATATATACATCCGTCTTAAGTGCGTAAGCCGAGACTAAACCGTGCCTATCCTTGAGCCAAGGTTGAGACGTCTTGGAAAGTAGTAGAGATAATACTGCAATTCAGAACACGCTAGCTTTAATCTATATAGGAAAATTACATATACACACGCTGTGTATATTGAACATTATCCCTGTGGGACCACTGTAGCGTACTGTAATATGTCTTGAGAAGAGATGTGATGATGGGGTCTGTAGAGTGTTAATTAGCGCTACAGGCTGCGGGTGGGCTCTACGTACAGACCCATTCTGCCAGATCGAAAATGCAGCATAAATACTCGGTCAGCACATATTGGGGAAAATATGGGGCAACCCTAACTCACTAGCAAGGGCCCGACAATAATAAATTTTAAGGGCTGAAACGTTAACATTGACAACTACGCGGTTTTATTACTTTATTACCCTTGTGATCAAACCTGAGCCTGTAAAAGCAAACATCGATGCAGTTACATGTATATTAGAGCGAGACGGTTTAACCTCATTCATCAGAGGTCTACTTGAAAAGAATTATTCCTGTCAACAAATCAAGCGGCCCATTTGATATCTTCAAAAACGAGAGGAATCTTGATTAAAAACCTGTTTCAATCCCGGTGATACGGGCTGCCGCAGCGAAGCTCACCGTGCGTGATTTGATATGATCTAATAATATTCGCAGACGCAATTATGAACAAGTGAGGGGTAATGTTTAACATTTTTCTATATTAAGGTGTAGTGGCCCTAGCTGCTACACGACTGTAAACCTATAACTGTCCCTGCCCGTGTCGTACTTACTGGATCCTGTGTAGCCCCAGTCCTCGCTGGCCGCCTGTTTGTCCTGTGGGCTGGCGGTGGCCATCTTCGTGAGAGACCGGCCTGTCCCGCTGTCCTTGCCGTGTAATTCTGTTTTGACAGCTTCCGAAGACGACAGCTCCTTGCCTAACAAGGTTACTGTGTGAAAAGGCAGCTGAACCTTCCGCGTGCGTTTTACAGTGGGGGGCTATAGAAACGACTGCAGCGCGGACCATGCGCAGGACTGGCGAAACGTCTCACCGCCTGTGTGATTATAATTACCGTGATAGACTATTATATACCTTACCACTACCGCCCTCCAGTCACAAGAGCGTTAACACAATGTGCCTCACGGGTCCATATTCATGGATCGGCGGATTAAAAGGAAAACCTTCATGCCGGAAACTTGTTCAGACCTTAGCTGAACACGGAAAGCTGCGAGTGGGGGTGATTTCTGACAGGAATGATACGAACTGGCGTATAAATTTTCTTCTCACGCAATCGCCCACGGACAAGTAAGACGACCCAAGTAAGGTGGTGCCGCTGATAATGAGATCTAGAGATGTTAACATGTTATTGATATTTATCAGGTAAAGAAAATACGGTTTGCATTCAACCTCGACCTTTTGGTTGGGTTATTTATCCTCCATGCACTTGACTTCTTGTTCTAGATCAAATAAACTACATAACGATGCATATGGGTTCATATATTATGTATCAGTTGACTTGTTTTGAGTTGACCTGTCTTTTTTTATAGATCTTGGGCTTTTCAACACTTGGGTCACAGCATCAATGGTTTCATTCTGGCAATTAGCCACCAGCGGTCTTTCTTCAAAGGGCGACTTTGAAACTTGTGACAGTTCCACAGCGCTGTACAAGACCTTCAGTGGAAGGTATGAAAGAGAACAGTGGCAACACGGTGTCTCTTCTGTTGTCTTGAACAGTAGATCAAGGAGCTGTTGTGTACCGAAGTATGTGTCTAAGGATAAGGTTCAACAGAAGGCGTCGTCAACGGCAGATCTTTGGAACGTGACTGATGCTTATCAAAAACCAACCATACTTCCCACTTGGGACATGCAATATATTATACATTCCATACAGGCTGCCCCTAAGGCTGACTGCCAATTCTCAAGAACACGGAAGTCATTTCAATGTCATGTCCCTAACCTTACAGGATGGGTGAAATCTTTGGAATTCGATGGAAATCAATGGCATTATTGCAAAGGGTAGTCATTTTTGCGCGCGCACAATGTATTCCGTCCTCTTTGACCCCAATAAATGTGGAGGCGCAAATCCTGTCAGAAATAATAAAATTTATTGCCTCTTCGCGATGTGTGTTTGGAGAATTGCGTGGATGATGGGCCCACTTCGTGTTCCGTTTGACAAGAGGGAGGGGATCACTGGATCTGGTCGGCACTGATAAGAAAGTTATAAAACTACGTTCAGGGTAAAGGGATGGGGTTTAATTCTGGGGAAGGTATTTCACAGATTAAGACCACCTGTAGGTATGTGGAGAAGTGCTAGAACTTCCCGGTATTTCAATATGAACTGGAGTAACTCATGATAGGGTCTAGGTCTGGGTTACCCGCATTTGAAGGTCCAAGTTGCAATGTGTATAACGGTGGAACTGTCGGAGTTATTCGTAAAGCCCTGTTGCAATAATGGATTGTAGAAGTACGTAATGATATGTTGAACTTGTCACCACTACAACTATATTACTCGCAGGTCACGACCGGCAACATTGTAAATTAATCTTTGTTTGTGCGACTGTTGTTATGAGTGATAAAAGTGCATCTTAACTTGTGGGACTTGCTATTACCTACACTTGGAATAGTTGATTGCAGAATGATATGTTGGAGGCAGTTTCATATGAGGTTATAATTATCTACCCGAAATGGACCTGACGCTAAAACAGCTATTTTACCCCCACGTTCCCCAGAGCGCAATCATTACCATTCTCAGGCGTTACCTCCACAAATGGAACGCTGTGTCTTGGCTTCCCCCACTAATCGATCTCTATTAAGACTGGCAACACTCCTCGCCCGGGGGCAATTATTTCGGAGAAAAGGCGGAAACTGTATTGTTGGTCCCACTGCACCATTGCCCCTGAAAACCCAAACCATTTGCCATTCATTCCATTATAAATTGCATGCCATAATTGCATCAGCTAGTATGACACTAACATTATGTTCGAGTAAAATATTTCCAAGTCAACGGCACACTGACCCAGTAATACATGAAAGAAATACTGCAGAGCACTGTATTGTGTTTTTCTTGCATGCCGACTGCATAACTTGCTTGCTGTTTCGTCACCAACAAAAGTTCAAAACGTATTGAACACAATCTAATTATTTTCTGTAACAGTTGTTCAACAATAGACTATTACCTTAGATAATTTCACTGCACTAAATTCCGCACACCGTAAGGCATGCGTAAATGTACATGTGAATGAAGAAACGCTACCTTTACGCGCAATTTAAGGGGTGCTGAAAGAATGGATTTTGTGCTGTTAGATCCCATCCAATCGTCTTAATTCCTTTCATTATACAGTTGTTTGCAGCTTTCTTTGTGAAATTGATATGTAAGTTATTTTTCTAAATATTTAGTTGTGGTCTATCGAAGACGGGAGTTTACGTATTGGCTCATACCAGACTTCTTCAGTGATACAAGCCGTTTGTATCAGACATGGGACACGGCCGTGTCACAAATATTATGTGTGGCACGCGTTTATTGATAGTTTGATAACAAAGCCTGATCCCCTGACCGCTTCCCTCTGGGAGCTCATATCACCGTGATTCTACAGTAAACCCGTCTCATTGGCTTGGACTGCAAATATGTGAGACGTGCAGTCAGGTCGAGGACGAGCAGACAATTTGTCATCTACACATTCGATGTCTGCGTGGGAGAGAGGTCTCAGGGAAGGGGTGTCAGAATTAATACTGTAAAAAGCGTGAGTGATGTATGACTTACTTGGTTACTTTCTACGAATTTCTGGTCTCCAAAGAAAGAGGCAACCTCTTGGAATACTAAATGACAAACGTTCTGGTATGATGCAATTTATTATTCTTACTTTGTTCAGCGTCTTTGCCACGGTAGACGCTGTTGAATCAATACCTTGTCACGTCCTCTGGGATAAGACAAGACTTTGGGAAGTCTATGGGATCGTGTGGGCCATGTGCAATGAGCTCATGGCGGTCCATGGAAGTCTCTGATCCTGAGAAAGCCTGTACATCAACATTTAGGATGAAAGCCGCTGAATTCAAACCGTCGATATCAGCAATCTCTCAGTTGGACTTGCTCCAAAAATCGGCAGTTATCAACACAAATCCTATACATAGGCTGTGCCAAACTTTTATAACAGTCGATATAATTGTATAGAATGGTTAAGATAGGTATTAGAACTGCAATATGTTGTATAGTTTGTTCTGTAATATAAACACACCCATCATAATTGCAGTGTGTGCCATAACATTAGCTCTCCCTTTGTAGACTTTTAATCACACACGATGTATATCGAAGCTATTTCTGCATTTTCTATAGAATGCCAGTGTGTTCGTAAAATTTAGTCCTATTGTGTAGGCCGATCCAAACGTCGCTATTAATAACACTTCAGACATAGTTTCAGACATCACTATAGTTTTAGACAACTACCTTTCATCATGTATATTTTAGTTATTTTATAGACTCTGTTTCCATATTCTTTTATGTTTGTAATTTGCAATTAGCCTCCGGGCATGAATTTGCAATAAACTTCTCATTATACTTTAATAACCACTGCTTGTGGACTTAAGCCCTAACTCGAGTCATAAAAATGGAGTTTCGCAAAGCCACCCCCGTGACTAGCACGGTACTGACATGCTCGACCTTTACGAGTTCTGTTAGCCATAGCAAAACAGCGCCCTGTTGGATCCCGAACCGTGTCGTTTTTTATTCCAACATTTCATGACTAGACATGGTGGCGACACACTTTTCTTTAGCTTCAACTTATTTTATGCCGCCACCAACGCAGAGGACAAAAAGCAAGACAGGACAATACTCATTTGCACTAGCTTGAGCTAAGTGAGGAAAGTCGTGTTAAGTGCCTTTCCTAAGGACACAAGATCGGTGGCATGTCCTGGCACCTCTTGGTTCCGGGTCGAGCACGATCTGCCGTTATGCCACACGACCCCACAACCGTTCTGTATTTAGATTAGTAGTAAGTCATGCAAAGGGATCATCAGGAATTATTTTCACAACTTACCAGCACCATTAGAAAGAATATCTTGCTACTGTGGCACCATACATTATTCTGTGAGGTTGTAAAAAGTAAACTTCCTTCTGATTTCAGAACGGTTCCTACACGATAAACGTCAATAACTGGGAAAATTCGTAAAAACGGGACAAGTCCACCATTCTTTACGATTAAGACACGAAAACAAATTAAATAGTGGCATTCAGATGACGTAGAGAGCAACAGAAGCGAACCTCTTCACTCCCAGGCTAAGCCATTGAGCGGTACCGTGAAGAACCGGCATCTCTCCTTGGTGCTGAATAGGTTATTTATAGGTACCATTTAGCACACTGTTAATCAGCTCTCCACGTACGTCACAACATATCCATTAGCAGAGGATACAGGGTTGCAAGCACCACTCACTAAGCACACTCTTGGTTACATCAGTGATTTTCTTTTTACTTTGACTTTTTTTAGCTCACAAATTCCTTAAGTTGCAGCCTCTATCTTTGGTCCCTGCTGTTCTGTAGATACTAAACAACCACAATTCAGCGTACTAAACGAGGGATCGATATGGAATACTAATGGCTAAACGTCTTCCCTCCATCTTTTCGCTATCCAATCACCATAAAGTACAAGAAGTCTATTAGCTCTAATGGCGTACGGCTTCTTGACTACAGATTACTGTGAAAGAGAACGCTGGATGCTTTGTAGTCTTCGTGTATGTACACATAAACCCATGAACAGACCCACTAAAAAATAAAGGTCACGATATGTATCAGTTCAGAACGTATCGCTTCTCCGCACATTTTCAACCTTACTATACCCAGGGCTGCTTTTTGGCATCTCATGTTTAC